TCTTTCTCTCCAGTGTCACCTCAGAGACTGATGGGAACTCAGAGCATAAGATAAACATATTATGAATGGGTGCAGGAATGGGCTGGTGAAAGCAAGACTTACCCCAAAGTGGTAGAAACCATCAAGACAAAACAGATGGGTTGACTTACCACAGTATAGATCTGATGCTTTCGTCTCTTAGCCAGGTCAATTATGTTTACTCCATTGTAGTAAAGGTTTTCGATGCATCCATGGAAGTTTTTCTTTAAAAAGGTCCCAGGTTTTCCTGGTACTGGAATTCCTCCAAAACTAAGCTTTTGGGGTGAAAATAAAAACAAACTCTTAGTTACAAGCTCTGAAAGATTAGGAAAGGAAAGTAAACACATGCGTTTTTGGTAGATTCAATTGTATGCATGAGCCAAGTGGCTCAAATAATTATAGATGCCACTTGATTACACATTTAAAAGGATACTGATTAGCCCATGTAAAAATAACTGTAATTGCTTGCTTCTTAAAGGCCTATTTTAAAAAACCATTTTCACTTCCTTTCTGAACCTTTTTAATACTAAATAAAACAATAATTTACAGAAGGAGGGAAAAAGAAAAAGAAAATCAATGTCTTTTAAATTATCTCTTATCCAAGCATCTTAAAGGATATGGCCATACTAAAGCCAAGAGACAAACAAAACATACCTCTATTCAGCTACAGACGAACTTAGTTTAAAAGCCTATATTGTATGCAAAAAGCCTTATGCATAAGATTGCCCACAATTGTCATCTATAATGAAGAAAAACAGGAAATATTCCAAATGTTCTGTACCATTTTGTGAAGCAGTTAATTAAGAATCAATATGATGAAATTTCACTTGTCAATAATGATGCTTATTAAACATCTGTAATATAATGGGAAGTAAATATAATGTTGATTTTAAAATGTAAGAGTTATAATTGGATATAAAGTATGATGTCAACAATAAGAAGTTGAGCATAAAGCATAGTCGGAGAGGAAATACACTGAATTGTTATCATCAGGTTGGTGCAAAAGCAGTTGCGATTTTTGCCACTAAAAGTAATGGCAAAAACCGCAATTACTTTTGCACCAATCTAATTTAATAGTGGTTCACTTTGGAAAGGTTATGAGATACTAGGGTATTTTTTCTTTTACTACTTTTATTTCTAATTAATATTAACACAAATTGCCTTTTTAATAGATACATTATTTTAAAAGCAAGGTGTACTGTTATGAGTATTTTTTCTACTATGAAAAAGAATCGAGATAATTTATATTATCAGGTTTGTCACAATACCATTTAATGAGAAATGCAGTTTTTTCTACTGCTTTGAAATATCACTATCAGCATGTACTTCAACTACATCTATATTTGGATACTTCTCTATCTCTAGTTCACTGTCTCTTTTTATCGGTCTCTCTCTTAATGTTTCAGGAGGATGTGGTCTCCCAATCAGAATGTCTTCTTACATGAATAGCTACTGATATAATAAAGGCTCTTTCTAGATTTTTTTACAAGCTTCACACTAGTAAAAAAAAAAAGTTACTCAATGCAGTGTAATAGGTGAAGAGGATTATTAATCCTTTTGCCCACTTTTACTTACGACTACAAATTTTAAAGAGAACTCTTTGATATTTTATTTATTTCATTTTAAAGCTTAATTACAGAATAATTTTATTTAGCTTGTTAGAATTTTTATTGATAATTTATTATTTACATTAAAACATCTAGTTGGAGAAGAATGGATGTTTTTAAAATATTTCATTTTTCTTTCCAAGAACCCACTGTTGTTCTCTATTTTCAGAAAATTTCTCATAAAGTCTCCCAACTAAGGTTATTATTTTTTTCTCTAGTTCACATACCCATCATTAAATTAATTTCTATGAATTTCACGATTTCAAAAATTCCATTGTATATGAATTGTTTTAATTCATTAAATATTTTATCATGTAAACGCTGTGCTCATCTTATTGCTGCTGGTATATTTGCTTTATCCAGATACTTGCATATACTTTTATATTAAATCATATACTTTTTAGTAATTTTCTTTTAATTTTTGAGGGAGATACAGGCAACACCTTGTTTTATTGTACTTTGCTTTGTTGTATTTCACAGATTTTGTGGTTTTCATGAATGGAAGGTTTGTATCAGCCCTGTGGCAAATAGATCTATCAACACTATTTTTCCAACAGTGGGTGCTCACTTTGTGTCTTTGTGTTAGCTTTTTTTTTTTTTTGGAAAAAAACATCTTTAAATTGAGGCATATATATTTTAAATATAATGTGATTATTGCACACTTAATAGACTATAATATAGTGTAAACATATCTTTTATATGTACTACGAAACCAAAAACTTTGTGACACTTGATTATTGCAATATTCACTTTATTGCATTAGTCTGGAACTGAATCCACAATATCTCCAAGGTATGATGGTAATCATATGATATATATGTGTGTGTGTGTGTGTGTACATATATATCACCTTATTAAATACATTAATATGAAATCAATTTCTTATACATTTATTTTCTATTTTACTGTCGCCATCAAAACTTCCTAACTCCTAGCCAAAACTTTCTAAGCGATATTAAACAATAATAATGGTATGCAAACTTGTAACATCAACCCCACCACCATCACAAAAGAAAACATTTTATTTCTCAAGTATACATAACACTAGTTCTGACTCTACATTAAGAGAATATCCTTCTGCTCTTTTACACATAAATTATTTATGTATTTATTTTAAATAAGAATGAATGCTTCGTTCTGTTCATGATTATTTCAAAAATCCATGTGACAGACAATAGAGTATTTTGTTTGATCTACTGATGAGTTGAATTATATTACTACATTGCAAGTTAACAAATTATCTCTTATTGAACCATTCTTGTGTTCCATTTGTGCTCATATTTTCAGTAGTAAATTAGTTTGAGCTCTAGTTTTCTTTTGTCAAGCATTTAGATCAAGTCTAGATTTGTCTCTGAGTTTTATAACTTATTACGTGAATGGCTCCGAAATCTCATAAAACATTCTGGAAAATTTAAAATTACCAGTGAACTTGTAAATTCCACAAATATTTTGTAAAAGTATTCCAAAATCCCCTTTGTTGATTTATTGCTATATTCAAACATTTTAAATTTGAGTCATTTACATTAAGAAAGGGTCCAAATCCATAAGAGTGGATAAACAGAACTAAAGACAAAAACCACATGATTATCTCAGTAGATGCAGTAAAGGCCTTTAATAAAATTCAACATCCCTTCATGTTAAAAACTGTCAAAAAACTAGATATGGAAGGAACATACCTCAAAATAAGAAGACCCACATATGAAAAGCCCACAGCCAATATCATACTGAATGGGCAAAAACCGGAAGCATTCCCCTTGAAAACTGGCACAAGACATGGATGCCCTCTCTCACCACTCCTATTTAACATAGCATTGGAAGTTCTGGCTAGGCAATTAGGCAAGAGTAAGAGATAAAAGTTATTCAAGTAGGAAGAAAGGAAGTCAAATTATCTTTGTTTGCAGATGACATAATCAGATATCTAGAAAACTCCATTGTCTCAACCCAAAAGGTTCTTAGCTGATAAGCAACTTCAGCAAAGTCTCATAACACAAAATTGTGTCCACGAATCACTAGCATTCCTATACACCAACAGCAGGCAAGCCAAGAGCTGAATCATAACGAACTCCCATTCATAATTGCTACACAAAGAACAAAATACCTAGAAATATAGCTAAAAAGGAAAGTGAGGGACCTCTTCAAGGAGAACTACAAACCACTGATCAAA